GGGACAGACCGGTCACACTGAAGGATCTGGAAGCCGGGCCGTCCAACATGGGTTCTATCCAGAGGGACAGAAGCTTCCGATAAGAGCCAATATACAAAGAAAAATGGACTCACGATTTTCCCACAACCGAAGAAAGACGAGAATCCTGACCCGAGCAGGATACAAGAATAACACACATCCGGAAGTGTGAAGTCTGGCGAAGAGAAAGTTCCAGAAGCTGCCTGAGAGGTGAACGAGGCTGACATCAGACTTCGCCTGGTGGCATCGATGACCGAGAGACACAACAGGACAAGTCCTCAAAGCGTTGAGGGGAGTTAACTCAGAATCCAACAAAGACACGCTCCGTGAAGGGAGCAGAGGAAGGACCTGCGGAGGAAGAACCAGAACCCTGATCAAACCGGACCTGAATGAGGCTCGAGCTTATCCCGAACTTGGAGTCCACGAAGTTTCAGCGCACGAGCCGTTAACCCCTTTCTGGCCAAGGCAGCCGGAGCGGAGCCGCTCACTGCCTGCAGGGACAGCTCGGATGTTTTCCAGCCAGGACAAAACAAGCAAACCCCGGGACGAAAAAAGCAGCAGCAAGCGAGGACATGCGGAAGCTGTACTATTAGTTAAGTCTAAATAACGCATTTCCTGGAAGGAAGATGGGTTTTAACCTGGGCTTAAAATTCCAGAAGACCGACGTAGGCGTTTGGGGGGGACGAGGGAGTCGAGAAGGAGCTAGGCAGGACTAAAGTTCTTGTCTGAGGCCGGGCGCGGTGGCTCACGCCTGACACCCCTGCAGAGTCCAGAGCCCCAGTTTCTGCCCCACCTGGCACCACGCTTCCGCGCACCGACCCGGTTCCAGCCGCGTTTGCAGAGGGGGGCCTGGCCGTCACCCCGGGCCCGGAGAGTCCCGGGCAGTCTGACGGAGGCTCCGGAAACTTCCACTGCACTGTGCGGTCAGCAGGGAGAGGAGGAGGAGGAGGGCGGCACGGCCTGGGGGGTGCCTCCCCTTCCATGTCCCAGCCGTTGGGACTGTACCCAAGTCACAGGGGAGGAAACTGAGGCTTAGAAAGACCCGTTCATGCACCGGGCCTGTCCTCAAAGAACATCTCGTCGGTGACAGCAGACAGACCGGACCCGGGGAACATGAGGGCTCCCTGGAGAAGGTGGGCTTTCTCTAAGAGACGGCAGGGGACCTGCCGGCAGAGGGACCGTCCCGCTCGGGCCTGTGGGACGGGAGAGCTGGGAGACATTTGGGGACAGAGGGCAGAGGACGGAGACCCACGGAGGGCAGAGGACGGAGACCCACAGAGATGGGTCAGCAGGGCCGACGGGGTCAGTGGGGCCACCGGGAGGGTGACCGGGCCCGGCGGGGCCATGCGTGGCCGGGAGACACATCACGCAACACACGCCTGTTTATGGGTCACCCAGGGGGTGCTGCTCACTCCCCCATGTGTTCCCCAGAAACCACGCAGATGGGACGGACACAAAACCGAGGGGAGGGAGAACACGGGGGGCAGAAGGCTGGCCCGCTAGTGTGTGGCATCGTGGCCTGGACACAGGGCCACCCAGAGTGGGGGCGCGGGGCGGGGGGGACAGCGGGGAGCAGGGACCACGCTTCCAGGGAGCTCGGCCGCCAAGGGGAGCAGGAGGGTCACAACAGGTCTGTGCACCCGGGGGGCGGACGGAGGGTCCCCCAGGAAAGAGGGGCCCAGGACAGAGGGGTCGGGTCACCTCCTCTCCCGGGGAGGCCCATGCACGGCGACAAGAGCCTTTCCAACAATGTCACCCAAGGCAGAAACGCTGAAGATGATAAAACGCATGCGACGATTAAAAAAAAAAAAAAATCTCTATGCAAAAAGAAAAAAGTCGCAAGAAAAATCAGAACCGGAAACGCAAAGGGAAAAACAAAGGCGACCACAGCCGAGATTTCCAGAAGAATCAGAGAAACTTAAAAAAAAAACCAGAAAGTCAGAATGTGACATTATTTTCCATCTGTCACACTGGCGGTTTGGAGAGTTTAAGAGGTGGGGTTTGGAGCCGTGGGGACAGGGGCCTTCACAGGTGTGGCTGGTGGCACGAAATTTGGCCTCACCTCTAGGGAGAGCAATCTAGAAATTGCTCTTGAATTTAAGATGTCTGTTCCCATCA